GTAAATCTTGTCTATCAATTCTTTGTTGTTTGGGCAATATGTAGATTTCCAGTGTAATGCTAAGATTTCTGGCCGCCAGTATGATCAAAGTGGCTATTTTTCTGGCTTCCAACCTCCAGGTGTCGGGAAAAATCAGGAAGAGGCCCATTGTAGGTGTAAGAGAATGTGTTTCTTCCGTCTCGTCTTGTAGTAGTGTGTGTACCCGTATCCAGAGGGGCTTGATCTCTTTGCATTCCCACCATATGTGAGTCATGTGTCCCTCATCAGCACCGCATCTCCAGCATTTAGGATCTATTGCGGGGTATATTTTATGTAGCTTGTGTGGAGTGAGGTACCATCGATAGACCACTTTCTTGTGAGCTTCTATATGAGAGAAGCAGGATGTGATGCCTCGAAGTGCGTTTAATGCTTTAAGCCATTGATCATCTGTGAGCTTGGGTATTCCTTCTTTCTCCCATTGTGCCACATATTTAAAGGAAATAGGTGGAGTTTTGTGTAGGAGGATCTGGTAGCAGAGAGATAATGCTCCCGGTTTCGTTGGGGCTGATAGACATCTATTGTGGAGTCGTATAGCTGGTTATTTCGTGGGGGGAACTCGTCCGTTGTGAACGTGACTTTGTTGTTTATAATACTCTTTAGTTGGAGGTATGCAAAAATAAACAAGCTAGGTAACTTGTATTTCTGTTGAATTTCAGGGAAGGGTAGAATCGTTGATTGAGAGCAAAGGCCTCCAATTTTTTTAACACCCATATCTGTCCACTTTTTCAGAGATAGCCATGGGGAGATGATCTCTAATGTTTCTAAAGGTGCCTGAGCACAGAAGTTATCTTCGAGTCGGTTAGGTCTGAGGTTGTCCCATATCTTCAAAGTAAGGGCAGATGTAGGGTATAGTACATTTGTATGTGGTCGGTGTGACTTTGGTGACCATAAGATGTTCGTTAGGGTATGTGGGTGTGATTTGTCTTGTTCCATATCTGCCCATTGGAAAGTATTTTTTGGAGCATGTAATCTTATAGCTGACTCTAGGATGGCTTTATAGTAGGTCAATATTGTCGGGAGACCCAAGCCCCCATCTGTTGGTTGTACATGGAGGAGTGAAACGGGTAAGCGTGGCCTCATGTCTCTCCACACAAATTTGTTTAGTGTGGTTTGGACGGTTTTGAGTAGTTGTAATGGAACCTGTAAGGGTAACATTCTAAATACAGAATTTTTGGTAGTACTACCATCTTGATTGTGTTCAGTCTCCCCATCCAAGACAAATGTACATCTTTCCATTTCTGGAAGATTGAATTACAGATATTCGCTAGTGGGGCATAGTTGAGTGATACCATTCTTTGTCTATGGAGTGTTAGTTTAACTCCCAGATACGTAATGTAGCTTTGCCTCCAATCGAACTGATATGCGGCTCTAGTGATAGTATAAATAGGAGTGGGGAAAGCGGGCAACCCTGCCTCGTGCCATTGGTAAGATTAAAGGGTTTTGAAACAAAACCTGAGTTGGAGACCTGTGCTGATGGGTTACCATATAGTGCAGAAATGCCCAGAATAAGTTCCGGTGGAAAGCGGAATTTGGTTAGGACTGTCGACATATAGGCCCAATTAAGCATATCAAAGGCCTTTTCAGCATCTAAGACCAGGAAAAGGCTTTCTGTGCCGTACCTCTCTATGTGAGATAGAATGTTTAGTATTTTCCTAGTTTTGTCGCAGCCTTTAACAAAGCCTGACTGTCCGTTATGCACGATTTAGGGTATTATCTTGGCTAGCCTATTCGCTATAAGTTTGGCATATAACTTGGTATCACAATTCAATAAGGATATGGGTCGAAAATTAGGACACTGT